AGAGAGAGAGAGAGAGAGAGAGAGAGAGAATAAATCACCAACCCAATAATAGATACGTTCACAAGTGATTTTAAAGCACTAAAAGTAGAAAAACCTACTACCTTGATTCCATTAGTTCACCTCATCTTTTCAATATGCTACACTGGTTTAATGTAAATTATGCACCTTACCCTGGTTTCATTTCTCACTGCTTAGAAATGCGAATGTTTGGATTTCAACTTTAGAAATAATAATTTTTTTCACTAATATCAAAATGGAGACATCTGCTCCATCAATATCTTATCCCACTACCTATTAAAAAATCAGGGTGGTTTACATTCAAAAGTTAAATGAATATTAGAAATGTTTTAAAGGCCAATGTCAGAAATATCCTGGGTTGAAACGTTCCTCACATACATAACTAATTTTCTATAATTCAAACGGAAAGAAGATGACAGAGGAAAGAAAAAAATAAAGAAAGGTAAGAATTTTTTTTGTGCAGAAAAAAATCATCAATAATCCCAGGAGGGGGGGAAAGGGAAATGTAAGGTCCACATTAAAATTTGAACAATTTTGTGTTTATAACTACAGTTTCCTCTTACTGAGAGAATAAGGATTTGTTCCTGGAGGTCAAAATATATGCTTAAATATTGTTTGTGCATTATTCCATGTGACTATTATGCAATTATCTGTTTTTCTCTTATAAGCAAAAATATATTTTGCAAAATCTCATCTTGATATTTTATGCTGTAGAATTGGACTCTGGAGACACAATGACTTTTAGACCTGAATTAAATCTTCTGTCTAAAATGAATTAAGTATAACAGTCTAGAAGGAAGAAGTAAACAAGAAACAAAAATCAGATTTATGTTTTCATTTAGGTAAATTTAGGTATTTTGCATCAAATTAACCTGAAATAGGACAAAGAATTATCATCAGAATATGTACCAAATTACTATTTATTATCCTGTTTTTTTAAACTGGGATAATAAACAAACCACTAGTTTAATATAATTAATCCAAAGCAGGGATATATTGAGGATGTTCAGATAAACAGTCAATACAACTATGTTTTACCAAACAGAATTCCATAAATCTCCTTCCCCTGTAGGACTTTTTCATTTGTTTAAACAAATAATGCTGATTTGTGTCCACATACACTTACTTGCATACATAGTTCTTTTTCTATTGAAACTAACAGGAAAATCTACATATTTATCAGAATACATGCAAGACTTTGAGTGAAATGTACAAGCAACTTGCTGCAAAATAAATACTAGCCATAAAATTGCTTTATTTACTTTTGGTTTAGTTTAAAAATCATTCACCTTGAAAAATGTTGGTCATGGCACTCTTAATGCAGCATGCCTCAATGCCAAGGAAATTTATTACATATTTCATACCAAATTTGTTTTAAACACAAAGGCATTGTCCAAAAAAATTATTTCCATGACAGTAATTATTTGGAACCATCACATTTCTCTTTAATAATGATATAGTCTACCAAATGAATCTTATGCACTCTATTCAATCATAAACTGTAAAATACACAGTTAAATTACTTCAATTAATTTTAATGATACTCAAATACAGTTTTACCTGGCTAGGGTACATTTTTACTAGATCTGAACAATCTAAATCAATTTACTATCCCAGGAAATAGAATATAGCCAGTAAATAGAACAAAAAATGTTTAAAAAGAGGTTTGTAATTCATCACTTCCTGATGTTTGTGGATGTTAAAAGAAACAACAGTGTACCTGCTCAGAATACTAAATCAAGGGCATAAAGTCAACAAACAAATAAATATTAGAGTCATGTACACAGTGGGCACATTAAGTACATTTGTACATTTTTGGGACAGCCTGGTAAAGTAATAAAACTGCAAGGTCCAATGGTACAGCTAGAAAATAAAATAACTCTGAATGTTTTCCACAGAATTCCCGGATACAAGCAAGGCTTAAAATAAAACTTTATGCAGATATATGAAGTGGTGTCTCTGGTGTGCTTTTTAATCCTACAGGACTGACTTAAGTTATTTGGAGTATCAACATACACTGCACAATTCAGAGAAATGTCAAGTGGGCTTCTCTCCATTGCTCTGTAATTTATTCAATAACACCCTTATTTCAAGTTTGCATTTTAGGTCTACTTTAAAATTCTGATTTTAACAGTATTTCTCTTGGAAATGTAGAATTTTGAAGGGGGGGCATAGAAGATGAATTGATGGTAGGAGAAAGTATTTTTTGAAAATAAAAGAAGAAAAAATTCATTAAATATATGTATTTTAGATGGCTAAAATTGGGAAGCGGAATACATATAGCAACAAAGTACAAAAGTAGGTTTTTTTTTCCTATTTGTAATATATGGTCTCCAAATAATTTACCACATAAACTGATGAATAGATGGTGTTCATTTAATGAATAGATTAATGAGTACCTGGAGTTCAACTGAGATAACATACTGATATCTGAACAATAACAGAAGTGTATTAATACTGGAATGCATTATTCTTATATACTAAACATCTGCCTTGCCACATTATTCTTATATACTAAACATCTGCCTTGCCTTCTATTCCTCTTTATGGTAAGTTTGCCAGTGCTTTAATTTTGATTTAATTTTTAAAATAAGGGTCACAGCTGAGCATTGTGTTCTAGGAAATTCCAAAGTAAGCAGAGGAACTAAGAAAATATACAGTTCTAGTAAGACACAGAATGTAGATTCTCTTAAGGAAGGTTTATACCATTATCCTATATAGGAATACATCTCATTGTATTTAAGGTTTATGCTGGCTTAGTTATAAATTTGATGAATTTTTAAAGAAAATATTCT